AAAAAAAAAAAAAAAAAAAAATGTTGCAAAATGCTTTCTTGAATCCTTTGTTTTAACTGTTAGGTCCTGGACCCTCCCCAGTTCCGAAGGCTTCTCCTGGTCTGGGACCTGGCTTGCCTTTTCTCTTTCAGAGTCTGGCTGGAGAGGTTGGGGATGGGGAAGGAGAGTAAAAAGCTTACACAGCCCTCCCTCCTCCATCCAGGGATTCTAACAGATTGTCCAGTTCAGGTTCTATATAACCCTCTCCTTGCATCTCAAAAGGTGTTTTCAATCTACACATATTTTGCAAATTTCAGTTTTCCTGAGTCATTAAAAGGAAACATGCCTATTTTAAAATTTAAAGTTTTTTTTTCAATAAGCATATCTTAAGGGCACAGAGAGAGTTTTGAGAGAGTATAAAAAATTGCTAAATCAGTGGTGAGAACACCAAGATGCTGGAATCACTGCTTTAGGAAAGATTTTATTTGACATAATACTTCTTTTTGCCTTATTGAACCCTCGATGATACTGTAATTGATTTTCATATTTTTTTAAATTTTTTTTTAACGTTTATTTATTTTTGAGACAGAGAGAGACAGAGCATGAATGGGGGAGGGTCAGAGAGAGGGAGACACAGAATCCGAAACAGGCTCCAGGCTCCGAGCTATCAGCACAGAGCCCGACGCGGGGCTCGAACTCACAGACTGAGAGATCATGACCTGAGCCGAAGTCGGACGCTCAACCGACTGAGCCACCCAGGCGCCCCGATTTTCATATTTTTTTGAAATTGCAGTTTTTAGATTTAGAAGGCAGCTGAGGTCATGTGGATTGCAAAGACTGTAAATATTTTTTACAATATTTCTAAAAAAATTATGTTTTGTTTTCTACCTGGTTGATAAACTCTGGGGAAGAAATGTTGGCCCTTAGCATAATTGACTCTTCCATTAGAAAGCCATGTGTTTTTTGGGGTGCCTGGGTGGCTCAGTCGGTTAAGCATCTGACTTCATCTCAAGTCATGATCTCACGCTATGGGTTTGAGCCCCACCATCAGGTTCTGTGTGCTGACAGCTCAGAGTCTGGAGCCTGCTTCCCATTCTGTGTCTCCCTCTCCCTCTGCTCCTCCCCCCCCCCCCCAAAACAAATAAACATTAAAACAATAAAAAAATAAACAAAAAAAGAAAGCTATGTGTTTTAAAGCTGATCTTCAGCCCATCTGTCCAGGCTCACCTTCCTTGATTAGGATTTCAGACCCCTTAGCAGATGCCTTTTAATCTGTGGTAGCAGCAATGAGATTTCTAGTTTGCTGTTTTAGAAAGCAGCTTAAATAAAGGACCTTTGATAATAATTTCTGTTCATTTTCATGTTGCTGCTTCCAACAACTTTCTCTAGGGTTTTAGGTAGTTTTGAATCTTCTATTATCTGTAATATTCACACAATATTTCTAGCATTGTGATGACTGAAAACTTGAAACTTTCTAAAATACTTCCTGTGTATTCATTTAACCAATTCTGGAAGAAGTGATGATGCAAAAGATAGTTGTTTCCATTGCTGCCACCAGATTGGCTTCAAGATGTTCGTTTAATGTCTTTGAGAATGTTCTTCTCAAGAATACTGTTGGAGATTTCTTAAATACTCTTAGAGGATCCAATTCACATGTTCACCTGTTCCGCCAAATTAGTAAAGATAACAAAAAAGGAAATTGGGTTAGGGTGATTAGGCCACTAAGTGGATTTTGAGTCATTGTTGCATTCTTTGCTGAATGCTAATAAATCTTTTCAAACTCTAGACTTGCACTGAGATCAGTGTCAAGCTATCCTTTTTTGGAAGTTTGGTTTATCACTTGATGGGGTCCCATAGTCTGATTTTATGTTCTTCTGTGGCTCACAATTCCAGATAGTCACTCTGAAACAGCAAACAAGTGTCCTCAGTATCCAGGGAAGTAGTTCATCTGATTCTGAAGACTCCAGTGAATTGATTGGTGATAGGTACTTACTTACCATCTTCTTAGGGGTTTTAGATAGTAATTCACTGTTGTGGTACCCTTGCTAGATTACTGCTGTATTCTCCAGCATACACAACGGCCTGCAAACACAGAATTAGTCAACTTGATACCTCAGTAAAAAATTTTCTGCAGTAAATAAAATTGTGTGACATCTGATGAGGGGACTACAGGTCATTTACCTTTCCCTTATTTGTGATATTCCTTTGAAAATGTGCCAGTAGCTCCTTTCTGCCTACTTCCGGAGTGGAATACAAAGTGGGAGAACCAGCCTTGCCATTAGCTTGTAAATAGTAGTTCGGATAGTAGTAGATCAAGGGGTAGTGGTGGGGAAATGAAATTGTGGATGTTAAACTCAAATACGTTTTCCCTATCTGTGCTCCAAAGCTCTGTGTTAGGAGTTGGATTCAGAGAGAAATTGAGAGCTGGCAGGTAGTAGATAGCAGCTATTAGAAATTTTTAGTGGATTAATAGATTGCCCCCCACCACCTCCTTTGTATAGTTGAATTTGGCTTATGAAAGTAGTAAGAATGCATTTATTTATTTATTTTTTACTTTACGACATTTATTCATGATGCCAAGGCAGTGAATTTTATCCCAATGTAGACCTGTTACTGTTTTCTTCTATGTGAATAGAATGCCTCTAACTCTGGTAGGTCACTGTGCCTAAAATTGGTCAGACCCCAAAGATGTTAGGAATGAATCGATTATGAATGAATCAGTTATATCTATCAACATCAGTGAAAAACTTAAAAAACCACAAAAGCATGTGTTAATAGGAGACTAGTCAAATGATATTTGATAAAAATTTATGTCTTCTTAATTATCATTAGTGTAGTGGCATTATGTGCTCCTAAAAACTGGAACTGAAAGATTTAACACAGCCCATAAGCAACTACATAAAATCTTGGACTACTTAAACTTTCTGTAATATCTCTCCGTACATGCTCATTAAAATATGAATTTTCAGAACTTTCTGATTGATCCTAGCCTTCTGAGTAGAACCTCTAGTCTAATTTTGAGTGGTGACGTTCCCGCTAACCAGCCGAGTTGTTTTTATGGACTGGTTTCCTCCCAAGTAGAAAATAATTGTTTGGGAAACAATAATTGCTAAACAAAATCCTTCAACGTAATGCGATCGTATCTAAATATCCTAAGCATAAGAATTATTGGATTTTTCCTTATATATTCTGATGAATGTATTTTTGTGGTATTTTGCCAAGCTAGGAAGTGAAATCACATGGATGTTGGTGAGTACCCCATGGCAGCTGTTACTTCATGTGGTTCGTTCAGAGTGAACTATAACTTGGAAGCCTCCTTTAGGTAAGAAAATTGGAGTTTGAAAGAGAAATCACCAATTCTTTTCAATGATCATGTATGTTTAGGTTAGAATTTTTATGTCATGTTTTCAAGCTAATAAAGATTAATTTGTCTTGCCTTCTAACATATATTTTAATGGTGCTCCCTGGAACTAGATTGTATAAAATTTATGATTTGTGGGGGCACTGGGTGGCTCATTCACTTAAATGTCCAACTCTTGATCTCAGCTTAGGTCTTGATCTCAGGGTCATGAGTTCAGGCCCTGTGTTGGTCCCCATCCTGGGTATGAAGCCTACTTAAAAAAAAAAAACAAAAAAACCCCAACTTTGTGGATGGGTTTTATACTCTGAAAATAAATGTACACAAGGAAAAGGGAAATGAAATGTTATTTTTAACAGAATTACCGGTATTCATCTAATATCTGTTATTTCTGGTGATTATATCAGTGAATTGGCAATTTAATATTTTACTGAATAAACAAAACAATCCATGTTATGTAGACTCAGATTTAATGTGTAGCACAGTCCCTTTGTTTACAACTGCAAGGCAGTTTTCTAACCTGATACTTAGATGAAATTTTCATTTGACTTTCGGTTTCACTGCTTTTCCAGTGAGGGATTATATTAGCGACAACTTTTTTGGTGATAACTTGTAAGATTTTAACAATACATTCTGTAAGCTTACCGAATAAAACACGTACAGGCAAAATGTTTATAAATGTGCTCTCAATTTAGGATCCACTGTACATTCTTTTACCTTACTTGGGCCATTGGATTTCATTTTAGGGCATTAAAATTAAAGAGTAGGTCAGCCCTTTCAAAATAAGTGCATTTTGGAAAAAGAAAACAAAAATAAGCGTATTTTGAATAAGCTTTGAATTATTGATGTCAGCAGTTTCATATATCTTATGTTATGTCACTGAACCGTTTCTCAGTCATGCGCATAACTGGTTGATTCATACTAAAATGTGTGTGGTAGCTCTTGAGATATAGCTTTGCAACTATTTTTGCTTTTCATTTTAGTTTTCCAAATCCTAAAGATGACATTTCATTTTTGTAGCAACTTAATAGGCCTGTCCTGCTTTTGGGATCCAACCTTCTCCTGTAATTAAGAAATGTTTCACATCATACAGAGATATATATATTTCTAATGTTCAGGGATGAAAAGAGGGTTAAATAGTCTACCAAAGTTAAATAAAGTTCAGAACCACTCTTAGCATTATTTTGCCTCTGAAATAATTGTGTGTGTGCTTAAACACTTTGGATTCTTACGTAGAATGTACACACAAGATAAACCTATATACTTGGGTATATCTGGACCTGAAATTTGCTGGAACTTAGTTGTGTCTCAAGCTGGCTAATACCTGGAGATTCATCATGTCTTTTTGTTGGAGAAGACTACTCATTCCTTTGCTATTGAGCATCAGGTGCATTGCTTACAAGGCTCTGTCCCTGGTGTGTCCAGCTTCAGTAGAGCTCCTTTGTCCTGGGTGTCACCTGAAAATTGTGCTTCAATTTAAGAAATGAAATTAGTTCAAAAGAAGGCACTGGACAATTTAATATAACAACAATGACTGAAACAATGATTAAACCTTTACTATGTTCCAGTACTTAGGGTACTCTAATCCTCACAACAGCCTTATGAGATGAGGTACTGCTATTCTCCCTGGTCTTCAGACGAGGAAACTGAGGCTTAAATTTGCTCAGACAAGATTGCATGGTTAGTAAATGGCCCGGCTGGGACTTTTCCAGGCCTATGCTTTTGATTATGTTTTACTGTCTTTCAGAACCCCCAGGAGTTGTTAGCACAATTGCACTGTGATGCTTTCTTCTCTGTAGAAGTTAGTAGGAGTACAGTAATTGACCAGGAATGAGCCTGGGACACACACTGCTTCCATAGACGTTTCCTTTTAGAAGCCTCCCCAACCACTCCCTCCCATTCACAAACTCAATCACATACCATTGCTTTATTCTTCCAGTGCGACTTGTCCCAATTTCAGGGATGGCATTTCTCATGCTATTTCACGATTTGACCATAGCTCTTTGAGAGCAAGTTCCCTCTTACCTCTCTATCCCTAGCATGTCGCAGTACCTATCAATGCATGAAAGTAGATTGCTATTAAAATTTGTTAAACTGTTTTTCATTTTCTAATGTTAATCCATACAATTAGAAGACACATGTCTAGGAAATGAGGAAAGTGTTATCACTTAACATCTTTTAATGTTTACAGAATGAAGAGGAACAGTTTATCTGTTGTGAATAAAATTGTCCAGTCTTCACCAGCAGTGAAACAACCAAAAGTTGGGTTCTACTCTTCTCTCAGCCACACCCACATGCACACTGTTCTTCTAGACTGGGGGAGTTTGCCTCACCACGTAGTATTACGCATTTTTCAGTATCTTCCTTTAATAGATCGGGCCCGGGCATCTTCAGTATGTAGGAAATGGAATGAAGTTTTTCATATTCCTGACCTTTGGAGAAAGTTTGAATTTGAACTGAACCAATCAGCAACTTCATATTTTAAGTCTACACATCCTGATCTCATTCAGCAGATCATTAAAAAGCATGCTACCCATCTCCAGTATATCAGCTTTAAGGTAAGAAAAGTGTTAAATAGAAACGACTTGCATTTTGTTAATGTCATTTTTTTTTGTAGATCTAGATCCCAATATTGAAGCGGTCAATGAATTTTGCAGGATTTTTATTCTGAACAATTTCCTGTTTTTCTGTAGTTATTTGCATAGATTGAGGTAAAGAACTTGAGCTATAACTTAAACTTCATTTTGCTTCCTCTGGATTTTACTACTAAAATTCAGGTCATCGTAGAGGATTTGAAAGCATGGAGGACCTAAAAAGTTACTGTGTCACTAGCTCTATTTCTCACTTTTTGTCTGAGACCTTTTGTATAAAGAAAAAATACTAATTTATTTCATAGCTTGACGGGATAAATACAGTTTTGCAATTGAATTCTGTTAAATAGTTATATTGCCAATAATTTTCTGATAACTTACCTTCAGGAGATTAAGATTTAAAATTGTCTTTGTAGGTTGACAGTAGTACTGAATCAGCAGAAGCTGCCTGTGATATACTTTCTCAGCTGGTAAACTGCTCTCTCCAGACCTTGGGCTTGATTTCGACAGCCAAACCAAGTTTTATGAATGTGTCAAAGGTAAAGATGCCAGGCTTTTTTGTGAGATAAACAAAAGTTCTCAAATATTTCAACCTAGGCAAAAAGGATTCTTTTACTAAAAGTAGATGGTGTCTTCCTTATATTCAGAGAGTTACTTGAGGCAGTTTTCTCTTGACTAGCACGTATTTTTGCTGAAATAGCTTATGCATGGTTTCATTCTTTACATATATTTTGTAATTTTAATAATTGTTTCTACAGTAGCTATCGTTAATGTAAAATTCAGATGTTGTACTTAGGATTTTCAAGTGCCTTACTTAGTTTCTTTGAATATAGAGTGTGTATGGCCAATAGTGGATGTTTTTCTTGTAATTCTATAGCTTCTGCATTGGAGGTAGAATAGCATAATTCTAAATGAACTATACCAATTAGGATGATACTGGTTTCTATAAAATAGAAACTCTAAAACGATAGTAGCTTACACAACATGGCTGAAGTTTATTTCTCTTACATTAAAGAAATCTATGCATGAGCATAGCTGGGTGAAGCTGTTGGGATCTCGAGCCCCTTCCATGCATTCCATTTTCTTTAAGGCATTTTCTTCATTTTCACAGTCTAAGATGGCTTTCTGAGCTCCAGCCATCACATCCTGTTCTAGGCAGCCAGGTGGAAGAAGTGGGGAAAGAAGGGTACGCCCCCTGCTTTTCAAGGACGCTAGCCATGAGCACCACATAATGCTTCTGTTGGTATCTCAGTGGCCAGCACTTCGCTGTGGGGCCACATCAGGTTTCTGTTTGACGAGGAATATTTCTTAGCTCGCTGGTAATGTGCCCAGCTAAAAATTGAGACTGGATTACCAAAAAAGAAGGGATGAATGGTTGTTAGGAAGCAGTCAACAGTCTCTGCTGCATAAACTAGTAACTGTCTTCATTCAGGCTTCAGCTTGGATGCCATCTCTTCAGACAAGCATTCCTTGACCAATTTTGCTAAAACAGTGCCCCCTCCCCCAGTTACACTCCACTATATGTCAGTGTTTTCTTTATAACATTCATCAGTGCCTGAAATTACCTTATTTATTTAGCATGTTCATTCTCTTCTCCTAGAGCAAAACATAAGTTCTTTGAGGGCAAGGGTTCTATTTTGTTTATTTACCACTGTAAACCTAGAGTTAAGTAGTGCCTGGTATATAATAAACACTAAATTATGGGTGCCAGTAAAACCGGCTAATGGAAACCTTCCTGTTGAAGAGGACCGAGGAATAGTAGCATCTTCTCTCTCATAAACTGGGTCATGGCTCTCAAGCATTTCCACTAGCTTGTTTATCTTTTTAAGAGATAGGGAAAATGGGTCATTTGGGGATTAGAGTAATATAAGCCATCCGATGGAAACTTACTACTTCTAAACAGTTATTTCCTTGTATATGAATGATGGAATCAGATTAGCCTGAAATTGTTAGATTCTAAGCTGTCTCAAATGCAGCACATCAGCTTCTTTTCTGGGTAAGCTGATGCAGTCACGAGGGTGAGGCAACAGTGATTAGCAGACTTCCTTTCAAGCTCTGCCTTTACAGTTAAATGAGTTGAGTGGCTTCCGGTAAAGTTGTGTATCTCTCTTGAGTGTTAATTTTTTTCACTTGTAAACTGAGGAAATATAAAATACAAGGACAGTATTTTGTCAGGCATAGGCGTAGAGAGTGCTGAAGGAATATATGGATACGATAATGAAGTGTGTACTCCAATGCTTAAAAACATCCTTCAGGACCATAAGGGTCCATTGAGAGTTGATGAAAGGGAAAGTAAACCTTAAATTTCTTAAGGAAAACGTGATGTATTTCTCTAATAATTTTTGGCACAATAAAATTTGGTAAAGAGATCTAGCTATCCACCATTTAAAAATTTATATACATCAATTTACAATTAGTATAAACCAGTGTGCTTGATTACAAATGAACTGAGACATAACCAATTTGGTCATTCTTTTTTTAAAAATTTTTGTAATGTTTATTTATTTTTGAGAGAGAGCACGAGCGGGGGAGGGACAGAGAGAGAGAGACAAAGAATCTGAAGCAGGCTCGAGGCTCTGAGTTCTCAGCAGAGAGCCTGACATGCCTGACATGGTGCTCAAACTTACCAGCTATGAGATCATGACCTGAGGCAAAGTCCAAAGCCCGTTGCTTAACCAACTGAGCCACCCAGTGGCCCCTCCAATTTGGTCATTCTAATAGGAGTAATAGAACCTTTGGCAGAATCTGGATGGACTTTGAAAAAGGGAAAATGATCATGCATGGATTTGGCTTTCAGACTTTCTATCTGTCAAAAATTTTGAAATTGTATGCATTTTAGAGTCTTTAATTTTCCACAAAAGGTGTATCACTAAAGAATAAGATTATTTATTTATTTACTCATTCATCAACAAATATTTATTGATCTTCTCCTATGTGCCAGATATTATTTTAGGTAGTAGAAATACAGGAGTGAATAAACCAGATGAAAAATTTGTTTATTCTATGCCAGGGGTTGAAAAGATTCAGTCAGTCAGTAGTTTAGGCTCCACAGGCTGTAGTTCTGCAGCTACTCATCTCCAGCATGGTAGTATGGAAGCAGACACGGACAGCATGTAAGTGAAGGAGCACAGCTGTGTGCCAACCACGCTTTAATTGTGAGCACTGGAAGTTTCATATAATTTCCACATGTCACAAAATATTATTCTTTACAAAACTTTTTTCAGCCGCTTAAAAATATAAAAACCATTCTGAACTCAAGAGACATACAGTAACATACTAGTTTGGATTTGGCCAGCAGATCATAAGTTGCTAGCCCCTCTTCCAGGAAATAAATATAATTATATCCTTTTAATATTGGCAATCACATTCTTAAGATGGAAGATAATTGGAAGATGTGTGTATGAAATTTTGGAAACATTCTTCCTTTCTTGCCATTCTATTTATCAATTGTAAAAGTATGAAAGTATACTTTGTCTTCTACTGACTAATGGTGTCATGAAAAACACTAATATGTTGATTGCTTTCACTGTGTTTTTGTTAGTAAGTGTTGATATAAGTAGTTTTAATGGCCTATTTGATTGAAGCTCTAGATGTTTAAATAATGTTTCCACAATTCTTTCCTTATTGCCGTGCAAGTCTCATTTTGTGTCAGCACTTACAGTTGTTTTTGTCAACTCAAAATCATTATCATCGATCAAAATTGAAGATACACCAGTGGATGATCCTTCACTGAAGATTCTCGTGGCCAATAACAGTGACACTCTAAGACTCCTAAAAATGAGTAGCTGTCCTCATGTTTCATCTGATGGTACACTATATCTTTTTAAGCTTTTTTGATGTTTTTTTTTTATTATACTAATAGTAACAATGTAATTTCATACTGAAAAGTACATGCTTATGAAACAATTGAAAAAGTAATATTTTTTCAAAAGAAGTCTTAATCTGTAAACTAGGCATAGTTTAAATTGCATCTAAAAGTATTTTAGTCATAGATGTATTTTATTATACGTATATTTTTTATTACTGCATATAATTGTATGCCTGTATCTTGGCATCCATCTCAGAAATAATTTCATGTCTATTTTGGCAAATAATGAATAACTAATGTCAAATTTAGATTTATGAAATGTTGTATTAGTATCAGTAATTCTTGGTTCTTAAAAGTTTTTCCCTGTTTCCTGCAGGAATCCTTTGTATAGCTGACCATTGTCAAGGCCTTAGAGAATTGGCATTGAATTATTACATTCTAAGTGATGAACTTCTCCTAGCCCTGTCAAGTGAAACTCATGTTCGCCTTGAACATCTTCGAATTGATGTTGTGAGTGAAAATCCTGGACAGGTTGAATTTCACACTATTAAAAAACAAAGTTGGGATGCACTTATTAAACACTCCCCTGGAGTTAATGTTGTTATGTATTTCTTTTTATATGAAGAAGAATTTGAGGCATTCTTCAGAGAAGAAACCCCTGTTACTAACCTTTATTTTGGTCGTTCGGTAAGCAAAGCAGCTCTAGGCCGGATAGGTCTTAACTGTCCACGACTAATTGAGTTGGTGGTATGTGCTAATGGTCTTCAGACTCTTGACGATGAACTTATTTGCATTGCTGAATGCTGTAAAAACTTAACAGCCTTGGGCCTCAGTGAATGTGAAGTGAGTTGCAGTGCAGTCGTTGATTTTGTAAGACGGTGTGGGAAAAGGCTGACCCACCTCTCCATAATGGAAGACGTTTTGATCCCTGATGGTAATTATAACCTAGATGAAATTCACACTGAAGTCTCCAAATACTTGGGAAGAATATGGTTCCCTGATGTCCTACCTATCTGGTAATTAGCTACCAAAGATTCTTAATTTTTTTTTTTATTGGTAAGATAAGCTTCTTTCTGTCTATGCAAATGTAAATTTTAAGATGCATTGTTGAAATATTTTAGGTAAGGTATATTAACATTTGCAAACTGTCTTAATGGATTGCAGCAAAAACATTTGAAAAAAAAGTAGAAATTTTAAGAGCGAGAAATATCCATAAACAGGGCTTAGATCCTGTATTGTGGATTAGGTAGCTGATATGCTAAATGCTATCAATGGTTTGTAGATGAGTTCCTCAGCCTTCCTCGAAGGGATATTTTAGCTTGCTAAATAAATTTATAATATTGAGCTTCGTATCCCTAAATTATGATGTTTATAACTTTATATTGCTTTAATTACTTCTCTTTTACTTGGTATTAGTGTGTTTTACAAGATATGTAGTATTAAAAACTAAGAGTAAAATAAAAGTATAGTTACAGAGGCTGACTTAATTGTACTTAATTTTTAGCACTATATAAGATCATATTATAATTCAGTAAACCATTTCTAATTTCTAATACACTTTGAATTCTACTTTATTACATTAGCTTGAGAGAAAATGCGCATTAGATTAAAATTAATACTGATCAATTTAATAAAAATATTCTAATTGTTCATTGATTAAATATGCTTCTGAAAATTTTAAAAAGTAAATTTTGCAGAGTGTCTCTGGGAGGGAATCAGCATTTACTGACCTAATCCTCTGTATCTAGAATTGTCCCAGAGGTCCTTTGCAGAAGTGATCTTCTAATTTCATTAGTGACACAACTAAAACTCTTTAGTAGTTATGTATTGACTTGAGGGTGAAGATATATGCTTAAAATGACCTATAAGACCCTACATAGTGTGGCATCTCCCTAATTGTACCAAACTTCCCCTTGGCCCTTCTCCGTTGTCTTTCACTTCCTTAAGACTGCCATGCACTCTCTAGTCAGAGGGCGTGAGGATGTGTTCTTCTTTCTGCTTAGATTACTGTCTTTGCTCCCTCAGATCTTTCCTTTAGATGTCATTCCTTCAGGGAAGCTTCTGACTTTCCACACTCTGTGACTTCTGTTTGTGGCACTCAGCGTTATTGAAATTTGCCATTTGCTTCTATGATTATTATCTGTTAATTCTACTGCACTGTAAGCTTTATCAATGCAAGATCACTGTTGGGTTTTGCCCACTGTTGCATCCTAGCATGTAGCATAATACTTAGCAAATAGTAGACTCTCAGTAAATTTTACTTAGGTACTTGCATTTCCAGACTTGTTCCCTTATGCCTTCCCTTAATATCTTGTTTCTTTCTCAGAAAGCAACTTAAAAAGTTGCTTCATCTAAACTTAAAGTAAAAAGAAAAAAGAAGTGTTTATTACTTTACAGTTCTGAACATTTTTTAATTAGGAAAAAATTTTAAATATTCTCACCTGTTAAAGAAATTAGAATAGAATACATTGTGGTTTGTACGTGGTAGTTTTTTTAAAAAGAGCATTTTTTAGATCTGCCTTTTTTACAGCGTGTATTTGTGCAAGCATTCTCAGCCCTGCCCCCGTGTTCTTTCTCAGGGCAAGCTGTGTAAGAGCGGGCATCTTACCTCATTTACTTTTGTGTTTGAGACTCTCAGACTGGTGTGTGGTACATTAGTATACCCTCAATAAGTGGGAGTGGAGCTCATATACTGGTTAAAAAATAAAACCAGTTTCTTAAAGACAGTTGTTACTATTGCAGAGCATGTCCTTTATACCTTAAGATTCCAGGAGGCTACAGAAGCGGCATATAAGAAGGCACTCAAAGTCTGGTTAGGATAACGGGACAAACATAAAGGAAATAGGATAACCAAGATGGAGGGTCGGGCTGGTTGAAGATCAGAGTAATGGTGGAAATAGTGAAGAGGTAAACTTTCGGTCTCATCGGGTATTACTCTAACATGACATGGTGGAGGAGTCAGGGAGGAGTATATATACCTGAATGGTAAGGTGGTGGGATGCCAGTGGTGGTTTCACCAGAGAGCAAAGAGAGGGACTAAAGAAGGGAGATCAAGATGGAGTTTCTCCCTGTTACCTACTAACGCAGAGCGATAATGAGTACCAGTGGCCTCTTTTACAGTTGCTGCTGTAATTGGTGGTTTTTAGGGACCCAGTAGTCAGACGTAGTGAACTAGACAATAAAATAACGCTTACAAAGACAACTCAGTAAAATTGATCAGCTTAATTACATGACCCTGGTTGGTCTGACTTTTATTGGCTTTATAAATTGAATAGCAAACATTTTTAAGATAGCCAAAATCAAGACAAGAAAATACAGAGTATTTTTGATGCTTTATCTAATGAAGATGTCTCCATTTACTTTGGAAGCCTATGAAAAGTACTGTTTACTTAAGATTAGAGGATTCTAGATTAAAATGGCCACTTATCTTGTCCTTCCATTAAATTACCTTCCTGCAGAAAACTCAGAACATTTTGTAAGTAAAAAGTAATTTTGTTTCCGTTACTAATTTAGTCATCAAACCTGACACAATTTTTGAAGTATATTTTGCTATCATTTCACAAAGGAAAAATAAGTTATTTAGTACTATCACTTTCCTATCATTTGAACCTTAACAATACTTTGAAGATGTTGACACCCAGATCTAAAAGGAAAAGGAAATTAAAAAACAAAACCTTCTGATGCACCAGAGGGCGCTGTATTCTGGTTCTTCATAAGAATAATCCTTGGGTCTAAAGTTTGCATTTCCATTCAACAGATATGAGAGTGCTTATCCAGTTCTAGGCAGAAGGCAGCGTTCTTGGGGAAGCTCTCAGTTCCGGGCAATGAGTTTGGTCTTTTAAACAATCGCTTAGGAAGGTTGATTATTTATTGTTCAAACATTTTAGGGCTCCTTTAAAAACTGTCTTTGAAGTCTCCCTGCTATTGCCTATTTTGTGTTCTCAGTGGGAACACAGTCTTTGTCCTTTGAAAGCGAATTTAATTTCCGGAAACAACCTAAAGTTATTTGGCCATAAGGAATCAATAAGGTAGATGATCCAACCAGAGAGTGTTGGTTATAGGTTTTGTTTTAACTAAGAATCAAACTCTTGTTAGCCTTGTATGAAGTGTCATGATACGGTAGAGAATAATATCACCTGGATGTGAGGATAAACCAGTTGTGTAGTAGAGACTCTGAACTGAGAGTCTTCATTAACTCGTTCTTCTTGACCACCCACCTTCACGTCTTGTTACCAGTATAACATATCAGAATAAATACTCATGAAATCACCCCCCAGCTCTAAAATGACAACAATGACATAACAAGAACTTAAATTTTTCTGTGTGGTTTCCCTTATTCACTTCTGAGATAATTAGTCTTCATTATTTGCTTGATTTCCTTTTTGTATATTCTTACCACACTTGTATGTGTTCCTAAAAATTATGTTTTGGTTTTAATTATTTTGACTTTCTAAAAAGAGTATCATATTATATGTAACCTTAAGTACTTGTTTTTACTCAAAAGTATATTGTTGTGATTCATCCATTTTGTCATGTTTAGCCGAGGCTCATTTATTATGACTTCTAGACACTATTCCATTCTGTGCTAAATCACACAGTTCATTTGTTCATATCAGCTGTCCACGGGGATGTGAGTTGTTCAGGTTTTGCCATGACAAATAGTTATATTATGAACATTTGTATGTACATGTCCTAGCATACAAATGCAGCTACTTCTCCATTAGTAAAGTTCAGTTAATTACGTTTTCCATTAGTACATCTGTAGTAAGAATGGAATCTTCTCACTGGAATTCCAAAAGGATTTAAGCAAAAATTCGTGAAAAGTTTCCAGAATGATAAATCAACCTACTCATTTCTCACTAACTAAAATCCAGGGAGCCAGTTATTTCTGGTCCTTTGAATAGTTGTATGGTCTTTTTTCCCCTTCCTACCTGTTGTCAACATAACTAAGGAAGAATGATCTAGATTTAAAGTGATGTGTAGAGGGGCACCAGGGTGGCTCAGTGGGTTAAGCATCTGACTCTTGATCTCAGCTTGGGTTGTGATCTCAGGGTTGTGAGTTCAAGCCCCACATTAGACACTGTGCTGGGCATGAAGCCTACTTAAAAAAAAAATAAAGTGTAGAAATAAGTGGCTACGATATGCATATGGCTAGATGAGGCTGACTGACTTGGTTCCAGGAGATACTTCAGGTTAAGATAGACCTCTTTCTCATTCCAGTGCTTCCTATAATGTGCTCTTGCTGAAATTGAGACTACTAATATATTTTCTTGGAATGCCATCATTTATGATTTAGAAAATCTTGTTGATATAGTGTGGGGAAGTGTGGTTGTGCAGACCAGCAAACTCTGTCTTAATCCATGCAAGCTCCTCACCCTGTGACCAGTTTGACATACCTGAGGATATTGCTTTGCTGAAACTTTTCAATACCTTAACTAAAGTTTAACTCTCATTTGTTCACTCAATATTTGTGCATGTGTGTCTAGCATTGTGCAACATTCTCTTCTTGTACCAAGAAAATAACTTCAGCCTTTTTCTTATTTTCAAGCAGAAAGGTAGCTAGTTTTAGAAGTACCAAAAATGCAGCCTGGATAGCTGGAAGTCATGTTTGTTAATCCTATGTATTGAAGACTAAGGAAATATAAACAAACAAGCAGAACCCCTCAGATCCCATATGTAACAGAAAAATCAGAGAACTCTCAGAAATTAGTTGACAATCAAAAATCAGAGTGGCAATGAGTTGAAATAAAACACTATTTTCTATTTTGCACTCATCATGTTTTTATTTGGACACAAATTTCTTGAAAAGTAGGATATGCATCCACGTTTTTAAGAAGATGGTTTTCTATTTAGAAGATCTGGTCATCTGTCTTCTACTTAGAGATATGCAGTAGGATCACTCAAGTCACAGTTTTCAATATGTATATGGGATTGTATGCCAGGATGAACTTTCTGCAAGGGCAATACAGTTCCCAGTTTTTCTCCCTTCTTGATGGAACCTTTATATTTAATTGGCTTAATATGGAACATTTTTATACAAAAACCTAAAAGAAAAGAAATTAAATTAGTTTTTATCTGGGTTTTAGTAGCCTTGAATCAGAAATTCAAAAAATAACAGAAATGGAAGAAAAGACAAAAAAAATGAGTTGATTGAACTCAATGAGGAAATTGAGGAAGATGACAAAATCATACCAGAAATGACTAAAATTACAAGATGCCGAAGGGAAAACAGATTCATATGAAAATTTAATAAAGACATTGAGGAATAACAGAAAAACGCTAGCTGAGAAAATTGAGACTATTAACATATTTTCTTGTTCTCACCCAGAACAATTTCAACTCTAAGACATATTCTTTTTTTTTTTTCTTATTAAAAAAATTTTTTTTTCAACGTTTATTTATTTTTGGGACAGAGAGAGACAGAGCATGAACGGGGGAGGGGCAGAGAGAGAGGAAGACACAGAATCGGAAACAGGCTCCAGGCTCTGAGCCATCAGCCCAGAGCCTGACGCGGGGCTCGAACTCACGGACCGCGAGATCGTGACCTGGCTGAAGTCGGACGCTTAACCGACTGCGCCACCCAGGCGCCCCTAAGACATATTCTTATAAAATGATGAGACTTTTAAAGACAAATAAAAGTGGACATAATTGGCACAAGATTGAAACTCTTACTAAATACCCAAAGAAAATAATTTTAAAGACAAAGACCCACCAAATAGATAGGTGGAGTTATTATAATACTATCATCATAATGTAATATGACAATGTTGAGACCACATATATGAGTTATATCTATAAATGTTAACTCATCTGTTAAAAAAATGTTCCTACTAGCTTAAAAAGCAAAACCCAATTATATCCTATATACAGTAAAACACAACAGTTGAAAAAGGCAAAAAATAAAGGGCTGGATCAAGATTTGTCAAGCAAATGGAAACAATAAGGAAAGCAAGGGTTATGATTCTGTTATCAGAGATTCGGATTCGGGACAAAAAGCTTTGAAACAAAACAAAGGAGGACAATTTGTAATGCTAAATCCAATGAAGATACAGCATTTACAACCACCTGCACACTAAACACAAACCATCTATATAAGGCAGAGACTACTGGAGAAACAGGGAGAAATAGAAACACACTAGAAGATTTTAATACACATATCAGTGAAAACAGTCAAGTAGACAAAATTGTGCTGTCTGACATGGTAGCCACTAGCCACAAGTGGCCAGTCTGCACTTGAAATGTAGCTCATCTGAATTAAATGCACTTTGAGTATAAGATGCATGCTGGATTTTGAAGACAGTACAGCAAAAGTAAAATACTAGTAATTTTTATGTTGCATTTTAAAATAATATTATAGACACTGAATTAAATAAAATATATTATTAAAATTAATTTTACCTATTTTTTAACTTTCGTAATGTAACTAGAGAATTTTAAATTATCTATGTGACTTGTATTTCTGTGGACATTGCTGATTTAGAAGATCTAAACAAAATCAATATAATGTGTCTTATATGCATGTTAAACAATATGTGCACAATTTCAACCCTGCAAGCCAATGTGACAACTAATATAACAGTACAGGAAGAACTAAATAAATGGAGAATATAACATGTTAATTAATTAGAAGACTCATTACTTTTAAGATATCAGTTCTCGATTTCATCTGTGTAGTCAATGCAAACCCAAAGTCCCAGCAGAATTTTTGGTGGAAATTGATAAACTGATTCTTTTTTTAACGTACTTTTTAAAGTTTGTTTATTTTGAGAGAGAGAGAGAGAGAGAGTGTGTGTGTGTGTGTGTGTGTAAGTGGAGGAGGGTCATAGAGAGTGGGAGAGAGAGAATCCCAAGCAGGCTCCACGCTGTCAAACTCCATGAGTTTGAAGAGCTCAAACTCATCAACCATGTGATCATGAGGCACTCTAGATCATTGAGCTGAGATCAAGAGTCAGAAGCTTAACTGACTGAGCCAACTAGATGCCCCTGATAAACTGATTTTGTAATATATTTGGAAATGCACATGAGGAAGAATTGTCAAGGCAATCTGAAAGAATAAATTTGAAAGATTTATGTTATATCAAGATGTGTTTTTGGTTTTTAATATTTATTTTTAGAGAGAGGGAGTGCAAGTGGGGTAGGGGCAGAGAGAGAGAGAAAGAAAATCCCAAGAAGGCTCCACACTGTCAGTGCAGAGCCCCATGTGGGGTTCAATCTCATGAACCATGAGACCATGACCTAAGCCAAAATCAAGAGTTGGACGCTTAACCAACTGAGCCACCCAGGTGCTCCCAAGACGTATTTTAAAGCTACAGTAATTAAGACAGTTGGATATTTGTGTAAGATGGACACATTGACCAATGAAATACAATAGAAAAATCAGAAACAAACCCATGTTTATTCAGACCATGACTTACCACAAAAGACTATACTGCATTAGAGTAGGGGGGAAAAATAGTCTTTTCAGCTTAATGGTACTGAGTCAGAAAGTAATGTGAGAAAAAAAGATCTTGATCCCTATCTCATTCCTTACACAGAACCCAATTCCAAGTGGATTATAAATCTAAATATGAAAGATGAAGCAATAAAACAGAAGAAAAAAATACCTTTATGACTTTATGATGGGCAAATGTGTCTTAAACAGGTAAAAACATGTTATCAATAAAGGAAAATACTACCAAATTAGACTAAAAGAAAAATAAGAATTTTTGTTTATTAAAAGACAGCAAAAATAAAGTGTAAAGGTAACCCATGAAGTGGGAGAAGATATTTACAATACATAGATCTGACAGACGACTCATCTACAATATACAAAAAGCTCCTATGTGCCAATAAGAAAAATGCAGAAAACACAGGGAGAAATAATTGAATAGGCACCTCACAAAAGATAATATCCATGCTATCAATAAATACAAAAAGGTGCTCCGTTGCATTAGCCACCAGGAAAATGTAAGTTAAAGCCAATAATGACATGTCAGGTAAAGGGTTAATATCCAAAATCTATAAAGAACTTCTCAAATTCAAAACCCAAAAACAATCCAGTGAAGAAATGGGTGGAGGACATGAATAGACACTTTTCCAAAGAAATTACATGGCTAACAGACTTGTGAAAAATATGGTCAACAACACTCATCATCAAGGAAATAAAAAACAAAACCACAATGAAGTACTTCCTCATACCTGTCAGAATAGCTAAAATTAACAACTCAGGAAACAACATGTTGAAGAGGATGTGGAGAAAGGGGAACCCTTTGCACTGTTGATGGGAATGCAAACTGGAGTAGCCACTCTGGAAAACAGAATGGAGTTTCCTCAAAAAATTAAAAGTAGGACTACCCTATGACCCAGCAGTTGCACTACTAGGTATTTATTTATCCAAAGGATACAAAAATGCAGATTCAAAGAGGCACATGCACCCCAATGTTCATAACAATGCTATTAAGAACAGTTAAACTATTGAAAGAGTACAAATGTCTATTGACTGATGAATGGATTAAGAAGATGTGGTATATATATAATGGAATATTCAGTCATCAGAAACAATGAAATCTTGCCATTTGCAATAATATGGATGGAACTAGAGTGTATTATGCTAAGCTAAATAAGTCCATCAGAGAAAGACAAATACCATATGATTTCACTTATATGTGGAATTTAAGAACTAAAACAGGTGAATATAGGGGAAGGGAAGGAAAAGTAAAGATAAAAACAGAGGCAAACCATAAGAAGCTCTTAACTATAAAGAACAAACAGGGTTGATGGAAGGAGGTGGGTGGGGGTTGGGCTAAATAGGTGATGGGTATTAAATACGGTACTTGTGATGAGCACTGAGTGTTTTATGTAAGTGATGAGTCACCGAATTCTACTCCTGAAACCAATACTACACTATATGTTAATTAACTTGGATCTAAATAAAAATAAATAAAGCCGATGAGATGCCACTATATACTCATCACAATGGCTGAAATGGGGGGGGGGGCACTTGGGTGGCTCAGTCAGTTAAGTGTTCAACTCTTGATCTTGACTCAGGTCATGATCTCATGACTCATGAGTTTGAGCCTCGTGTTGGGCTCTGCACTGACCGTGTGGAGCCTGCTTGGGATTCTTTCTCTCCCTCTCTCTGCCCCTTGCCTGCTTGCACACTGTCTCTCTCTCTCTCTCTCTCTCTCTCTCTCTCAAAATAAATAAATTAACTTAAAAAAAAAAGAATTGCTGAAGTGGAAAGTTGGAAGATAGCACCAAGTATTGTGTATGGAGCAACCGGAACTGTTACACACTCCTCGTTGGAGTGTAAATTGGAACTTCTGCTTTGGGAAACGCAGTAGCTGTTAAAGCAGAAGATACATATGTACCAAGTGACCCAGCTCTCCCGCTCGTACAACATTCTGCCATCAGCGAGTGTGCTGATTCCAATTATGCATTCTGAAAC